TTGCACCACCATGTCTGGCTGATTTTTGTATTTTTAGTAGAGAGGGGGTTTCACCACGTTGGTCAGGCTGGTCTCAAACTCCTGACCTCAAATGATCTACCTATCTTGACCTCCCAAAGTGCTGGGGTTATAGGCATGAGCCACCATGCCCGGCCTGGCCACTGTCTTTCTCTAAATTAACCTCATGCCACCCTTCCCCTTGCTCACCATAGTCGATACACACCTTCTGGTGAGGTGGGGTTTTTTTGTTTTGTTTTGTTTGAGATGAGGTCTCACTCTGTCACCTAGGCTGGAGTACAGTGGCACAATCTTGGCTCACTACAGCCCCAACCTCCTGGGCTCAAGCCATCCTCCCATCTCAGCCCCCTGAGTAGCTGGGACAACAGATGTGTGCCACCACGCCCAGCTTATTTTTTGTCCTTTTTTGGTGGCGGCAGGGTTTTGCCAGCTTGCCTAGGCTGGTCTCGAACTCCTGGGCTCAAGTGATCATGCCCAGCTGTGGTGAGGTTTGTTTGTTAGTTTTTTGAGATGAAGGTTTAGGTCTTGTTGTCCAGGCTGGAGTGCAGTGGCGTTATCTTGGCTCACTGCAACCTCTGTCTCCCAAGGTTCAAGCAATTCTCCTGCCTTAGCCTCCTGAGTAGCTGGGATTATAGGTGCCTGCCACGACACCTGGCTAAGTTATTTTGTATTTTTAGTAGAGACAGGGTTTCACCATGTTGGCCAGGTTGGTCTTAAACTCCTGACCTCAGGTTCCATCCACCCTCACCTCCCAGAGTGCTGGGATTACGGTCATAAACTACCTACCACATCCTGCCTGTGGTCAGGTTTTTTTTTTTTAAACCATCTCCTGTCTCTGCATATTCTTCATTCTTTTGTGTTTTTTTTTTTTTTTTTTGAGACGGAGTTTCACTCTTGTTACCCAGGCTGGAGTGCAATGGCACGATCTCGGCTCACCGCAACCTCCGCCTCCTGGGTTCAAGCAATTCTCCTGCCTCAGCCTCCCAAGTAGCTGGGACTACAAGCACACGCCACCATGCCCAGCTAATTTTTTTTTGCATTTTTAGTAGAGATGGGGTTTTACCATGTTGACCAGGATGGTCTCGATCTCTTGACCTCGTGATCCACCTGCCTTGGCCTTCCAAAGTGCTGGGATTATAGGCGTGAGCCACCACTCCAGGCCTATTCTCCATTCTTAACCTGGTAAAGACTACTCTCCTCTCCCCGCCAATCTAAATTAGGCTCCCCTCTTTTTTTGTTGTTTATTTCTTTCTTTCTTTTAGGCTCCCCTCTTAAACTTTCTTATAACATCCTATAAATATCTTCTTAGTGCTCATGACCAGTCGTAATCATATATATGAAATTCCATTTACATATTTATATTTATTTATATGTATGATTATTTAATCTCTGCTTTTTCTACTAGGCGTTATGCTCTATGAGGACAGGGACCATGTTTTGCTGATCACTGTTTTGCTATACCACCAGCATTGAGCCTAAAGGTAAGATACATTTATTAAGTGAATAGAGAGGTTCCAACGGAGGAATCATTAGGTAAGCAAAATAATACAACTGAATGTTTTTCGTTTTGTTTTGTTTTGTTTTGTTTTGAGACAGAGTCTCACTCTGTTGCCCAGGCTGGAGTACAGTGGCATGGTCATGGCTTACCACAGCCTCGACTACCAAGCCCAAGTGATCCTCCCACCTGAGCCTCCCAAGTAGCTAGAACCACACAGGCAGGCACCACCATGCCCAGCTGTTTTTCAAATTTATTTTTATAGAGACAGAGTCTCCCAGGTTGACCAGTCTGACCTTAAAGTCTGACCTCATGCCTGAGGTCCTCCCACCTGAGCCTCCTAAAGTGCTAGGATTACAGGCATGTGAGTCACCACACCTGGCCCAATTTAATGTTAACTTTTTTTTTTTGAGATGGAATTTCGCTCTTGTTGCCCAAGCTGGAGTGCAATGGTGCAATCTTGGCTCACTGCAACCTCCATCTCCCCGGTTCAAGCAATTCTCCTACCTCAACCTCCCAAGTAGCTGGGATTATAGGCGCTACAGGCGTTGTGGGCGCGTCCCACCATGCCTGGCTAATTTTATGTATTTTTAATAGAAATGGGGTTTCACCATGGTCTAGCCAGGCTGGTCTCAAACTCCTGACCTCATGTGATCCTTCTGCCTCAGCCTCCCAAAGTGCTGTGAGCCACTGCATCTGGCAACTTTTAAAATTATTTGAGAATGAAGTGTTACCTACGTAAGTCTATATAAAAGTATACATACACACATGCATACATAAACATGAAAATTGGGAATGTAGTATAATAAAAGAAGTACTGGCCTGAGATGGTAGTGACCCACAATTAGTGACCTAGAAACTGTCACCTTTACTGTCAGTCTCAATACAGGAGTGGCATTGCCCCCTAGTGTTGGAGATTTTATTTATAAGTGCTAGCAAACCCTGAATTGACAGTATTTCTAGAATAGTCATGCTGAGCATTTATATATTGAAATGCAAATGATTTTATTATAAATTCCTTTCTTTGTACTATTTATATTATAAATAAAACATCATTTTGATTTAAGATGAAATAATGTATATAGGTAAGTTACATACCTATGAATTTCATTTTAGGCTAATAAAGATCATATGGTAAAAACATTTATTTAAAAAAGGAATGTTGGGTAAGATAAGATTGTAGGCCCGGCGCGGTGGCTCACGCCTGTAATCCCAGCACTTTGGGAGGCCAAGGCGGGTGGATCACAAGGTCAACAGATCGAAATCATCCTGGTCAACATGGTGAAACCCCGTCTCTACTAAAAATACAAAAAATTAGCTGGGCATGGTGGCGCGTGCCTGTAATCCCAGCTACTCAGGAGGCTGGGGCAGGAGAATTGCCTGAACCCAGGAGGCGGAGGTTGCAGTGAGCTGAGATCGCACCATTTCACTCCAGCCTGGGTAACAAGAGCGAAACTCCGTCTCAAAAAAAAAAAAAAAAGATAAGATTGTCACTGGATTAGGTGATGCTTAAGATCCCTTCCAGTTTTTATTGTGATGACTCTAATCTTTCATAATGGGAAGGCTTCTTTTTATTTTGTTCATTATTTTGTTTATATTCCACTATAAAATCGGTAATATATGTAAGAAAAATAAACACGTATTTTAAATAAAAACGTCTACCATATTGAATGTTTGGGTATTTAATTACCTAAAGGAAAATCCAAATAATTTCCCAGGTTTCCTTGCTAGGTAATCATTTCATGATTCTATAATTTCAAACTTTTGGTAAAATGTGACTTCATTATATATTTTAATTTTTACCCAAATAACTGTTGTCTCTAGGTTTGATAATGAGGAAACTGAAACCCAGAAAATTAAAGTATTAAGAGAATGAGGCCGGGCGGGGTGGCTCATGTCTGTAATCCCAGCACTTTGGGAGGCCGAGGCAGGTGGATCACCTGAGGTCAGGAGTTTGAGACCAGCTTGGCCAACATAGTGAAATCCCGTCTCTATTAAAAATACGAGAATTAGCCAGATGTGGTGGCACATGCCTGTAATTCCAGCTACTGAGGAGGCTGAGGCAGGAGAATTCCTTGAACCAGGGAGGTGGAGGTTGCAGTGAGCCGAGATCATCACTGCACTCCAGCCTGGGTGACAGAGCTAGACTTCACCTCAAAAAAAAGAGAGAAAAAATGAGGGCATCTCATTATGAAATTAAGTTTGTAGATTTAAAATTGCAGCTTATTTTCCTACCCCCTTCCTGTTTTAAGTATTTAAAATAGGTTATGACATACATTTTAATAATGTATTTTAAAAAATAATGTCTCCCTTGGCCGGGCGTGGTGGCTAACATCTGTAATCGAAGCACTTTGGAGGCCAAGGCGGGCAGATAACCTGAGGTCGGGAGTTCAAGATCAGCCTGACCAACACGGTGAAACCTCGTCTTTAAACAAACAAAAAATAATAATAACAATGCCTCCCTTCTCCTCTCCCCCATCCCAACACACCCACTAGAATGGGGACAGGGAATTTTGTCAATTTTGCTCACCATTGTGTATAGAAGAGTACCAGGCAGCCGGGAAGAGTTCACTATTTGCCGTTATGAATGGGTGAAGAACACGTGCAATAAGCAAAAATTACTGCTTCGAGCGCCACTTCCACCAGAGTTCTGGGAGGCAAAAGGGAGCTACCAGCACATCGACTGACTTTAGTGACTGAAGATTCCTGGGTGCTTACAGGGACTGCGGCTGCATTCATTGTTCTTGGGGATGTGCCGACGTGTGTAGGGTTTGTGTACTTGCACACAGCTGTGCTGGCAGGACACCGAACTAACATTAATTTGCACTGAGGTCCGAAAGTTCTCAAATTCACACCAACAGAAGCACGTTATTCTAACTACACAGGCCTTCCGTTCTCCTGTGCAATCTGCACAGAACAATTTAGGTTATTTCTTCACTGGAGATTTTACAGTGAGGAGGGATCAAGGGTGGTGGCCCCCAAATGCGCAAAGGACAGGGAAATGAATTAAACAGGCATCTGTTTGTTCCTTGTTCGCAAACAGACATCAAGTCTGTGTAAAATTCTCACTCTAGATCAAATCCCGCGCTCTGTGTACCCCCAACCTGCCTTCACCTCTATTCCGCTCCGTTCACATATTTCTGGTGGGCGGGGCAGAGAAGAAACATTCCGAACTCCCCGAAAAATTGTTTAGCCTCGTCCCAGTTTTGGAGTTGCACATTTCCACAACACCGAGGACACGGAATCATTAGCGAAGGACGCCGACCAAATGACATTGAAGCAGCATACGCGCGCAGAGAAGGAAAGAAAACACGAAGAAAGGCAGCAGTCCAGCAACCACGTGAGGTGGGCGATCCCCTCCGCCCTCTGAGAGAGGACTTCAACTCCCGGCGTGCTCCTGGGAGGTTACCCTCCGAGGACTCCAACTCCCAGGATGCTGCGGGAGCGGCCGCCGCAACCTCCCACTCAGCCGCCCGCCGCTCCTCCCTCCCCTCCCCCGCCCCTCCTAGCCGATCGGCGTGCGCCTGCGCACGGGAGACCGGAGGAGTCTTACCCTAATGTAAGATGGTGGCCCGTCTGGCTGTGGAACCCACCGAAAGCTGAGAGTCTCTCTCTCAGCCGTAAAGGTCGGACTCGCTGAAGCAATCAGGCCCGGTGCTGAAGAGTTTTTTCCCCGACGCTCGTTCGGTGGTTTCTTGTGAGGACGCGGCAGCGCGTGGAGTCGGCTGAGGGAAAAGCGAGGCAAGGCAGGCGGGTGAGTCTATGCGGGGCTGGGCTTAGGGGAAACCCGGGGCTGACCGGCTACGAGAGAGCGGAGGCTTCTCTGGGACTGTACAGGCCGCACCCCCCTTTCTCCCCACCCCCCGCCTCATCTTCACCCTCCTCCTCCTCAGTCTTTTTCCTCCTCTTCCTCCTTCTCCCCTTTACGCCACAGCAGTCACCATCAGGAAAAGGGAGCGGGTCCGAAGGCAGCGCGGCGGCAAGCCGCGACTCTCCTTCGAGAATTTCTTTAATTGGGGAGCCGAGGCGTCTTTTGGTCTCCAGCTTTCCCCCCTACATTTTTATAGAGGCAGGATTCTTAGGTCTCAGTCCTCCCTGTTTCCCCAACCCCCTTTTCCCTGTCTGACGTCCTTCCCCACTGGCTCCCGTCTCTCTAGACCAAAGCCATCACTTCCACTCTGACCCGTGTTGCTGCTGCTGCTGCTCATTAATCCCGCTGCTCATTGCCCACTCGTCCTGATGCTTGTTTTTTGCTCCACTGCTACCACTCTGGAGTTAGCCTTTGCCCCCCTCTGGTGCTTGCAATCAGCCCACAGTGTATCTGCCACACTAGAGCTTCTTCCGATTCGCAGTCTTTCCTTCTACCACATCTGTCATCTTAAAGCTGCCCCTTAAGTATCTAGATTATGCTCCTGCTCCTGCTAACCCACCTGTTTCTCAGCCTTCTTGAGAATTGTCGGTTCCTTCCTTCTTTCTTGTACAGATCCTTTCAACATACACTTCCAGAAAAAGGGATGCCCCGTGGTGGCCCTTGAAAAGTAAAGGAAGTTGGAAAGTGAATGAAGTGAGGTAGGATACTATTAAACGTTATGAGTAAAGATCTTTTATTCAGGCTACTCAGGAGAGGAACGTTTTCGTTTTGCTTTCAGTGATCTAGTTGTCGCTTATTCGCTCCGTCGTGTTAGGACGTGGCTTCTTTCTTTCTTTCCTTCTTTTCATTTTGGACCGGTTTTACCATGCTACTAAGCGTTCTTTGGATTGCCTCTCCCCAGGACACTTGGTGTGGGCTCTGATTTATACCAATAAATATTAACCCAAGCATTTCAAAATAAGCGAAATCTGGCGCACATACAGAATTCATCTGTGAACTCCGCTAGCAAATATAAGTGGTATTTTGATTGCATGTGGGTTCTGTATTGAGACTTGATTTTTGACTGAGTTTTATTGATGTTCAGCTTAATCGATGACATTTTATTTATGATTGCAGTGGAAATTTCCTCTCTAGTTAATATCAGATTTAGTTATTATTTTTGGATTTGGGAAGTTCTGTTGACATTTGTAGGATGATAGTTATCTGAATAAATTGTCTTCTTTTGAAAATCCATTCGGTATGTATGCAAAAGAAAAATCGATATTTTTATGTAAACCTAAGTTCCTCGTATTTTTTCCAGAAAAGAAGGGCTGGGAAAAGAATGACAAAGCTGTGCACATACATGTGTTTGGTGGAACTCACTGTCATTGTTACCTACAGTAAAAAGCAGAAACTGGAAGCAAGAGGTAGCTTATGATGTCCTTGTTTTAGTGAAAGCAAAATTAAGATGTTTGGACTAATGGTGTAATGGGAAGAAGGAGCCCTTGCTATACTCAGACCACTGTGAGATAAAGAATTATCAGAAAAGCAACCAGGATTACATTGTTCAAATACATATATCTCAAGTTTAAACATGCTATACATGACATTGTGTTCTTAAGGTGTATGTAAAAATGTTTAAAATCAGTGACAGTCTCATGTGGCAGTCCATTATTGGGTTATTGTAATTTTTACGAAATTTTACCTGTAAAATTTGGAATCTTTACATTTGGCATAATGTTCACTTGATTGTGATAAATGATGTGTTTTGCCAAATGTAAACTAAGGTTAGAAAAGCTGTTTATGAAACTTCTTTTTTCTTTCAGCCACTTAACCCCCAATTTGGGGAAACCAAATAAATACTTGCTCTTAGAATTGCAAGCAATTTATATAGCAAACTTTGCCCTAAGTTACAACTTGAGGTTTTTTTGTTTTTTTTTTTTAAATCACTTACATTTAGTTTATCAGTAGGAGTGTATTTAATAGTTGATCTTTAACTATAAAAAATATACTTTTTGTTCTTGTAATACACTGGTGGAGAAGCTTTCCACTTTGAACAATCCGAACACAGGTTTAGAAACTCTTGGCAGTCATACTTGGCTGAATTGTAAGCAGTGGGTTCTAAGGGAGGGCTGTTTGGTAGAAGGGAGTAAGTGATTTTAATACATCTTTTCTCTTAAAACGGTATTTGTCTCACGAAATATTTTCTTAAGTAATTTTCTCCCCTCCATACTTTTTGCCTGCAGTTACTGAATTTTTTGTTTCAGCCCTCTGAAGTCAAAAGGAATTTACTTTTGGATCTTTAGTACGTTTAGAGAAGATATCTAAAATTCTTTAACTTTTTGATAGGAAATAGGGAGCTGAGATTTCTAAATATTTTGCGTGGTTTAAGTTTTTTGATCTTAACGTTATGAACATTGCAGCTACATACTTTCATGGTTTCTTTTGATAACTTGGAATACTTTCTTCCAGGTTCAATAGTTGAATTCTTCAGATCAATAGATTATTTCTGTAAGAAGGTTTTCAACATGAATCACTTAAAGTTGGCCTGTTATAAAATTAGGATGAGACAGTTATAATCAAATGGGAAAATACAGAAAAATAAAATTGTTTTTATAATGCCGTTCAACTTGAGTCTAAATGGGAGTACTAGCGATAACTTGCAACTCATTACTTTGTAAAAGACAGAGGGTGTTGCCAGATTATAAACTTCTAGTTTTAGGGGAGTTTTATTTTAAAAATTATTTTCTGTGCTTTAAAGGAATGAAAAAATATCTTACCAGTTTAAGCAGTTTGGATTTAGAAATCTTCCCTTTCTTCCCCTTCCTACTCTTGGCTATAAAAGGAATCTATTTTCTTCAGTTTAATAAATTTGTCTTTTGTTGTTTTGTGTGAATGAGAAAATTAATTTTTCTGATGTGACTGCAAATAGTGCTCAATTTCATATATTTAAACTCAGTGTTACTATTTTTATAGATAATTTAAGTAAAATGGTTTTAATTTGTGAAATCTTCAGCCTCTGGTGAAAATTCAGTTAATTAGCTCTCTGACAGTAACTATAATACTGTCTTGACTTTTTGTGAAGGAAGTTACATTCAGCTCAGTTGGTTCTGAAGAAAACAGTAGGGAAATAGGTTATAGAAATTTTTGCTGTTCTAGAAACAGTATAACTAGAATGTACTACATACTTTTCTCAAAGGATTTCTTAATCTAAATGGAACTTGTAAATGGTTTTCATCCCACTGGAATAGCATGTGTTGGATAAAACTTGTTTAACACATTCTGAGATTTTATAATATTTTATGTTACCTCAAAGATATTTGGAAAAATCTACAAATACTCATTCCTGAACAAAAGATGGCAATATCCTCAATATTTTAAAGATTGTAATATATACATATTTTTTTCCCAAAAGTTGAGAGTACACAAATTAAGAACTAGCATAATTTACCCAGTTATTTTTGTGATACAAGGAAAGAATATATATGGACTTTTCAACCATGGGTTTAGTGGTTTTCTAAAAGAACTTCACAGTTGTTTTTAATCTCGTTATGTGGACTTCTTTATTAGAAAAGATTATGTGGTAAAATGTCAACTTTTTAAACTGTAATATAATCAATTGGTTCTGTGACACATTTCTTATTTTATTTTATTTTTTTTTGAGACGGAGTTTCGCTCTGTTACCCAGTCTGGAGTGCAGTTGCACGATCTCGGCTCACCACAACCTCCGTCTCCTGGGTTCATGCAATTCTCCTGCCTCAGCCAACTGAGTAGCTGGGATTACAGATGCTCACCACCACATCCAGCGACTTTTTGTATTTTTAGTAGAGACAGGGTTTCACCATGTTAGCCAGGCTGGTCTCGAACTCTTGACCTCGTTATCCACCTGTCTCAGCCTCCCAGAGTGCTAGGATTACAGGCAAGAGCCACTGTGCCTGGCCTCAAGTATGGCTTCTTTATTCTTAAACTCAGTTTATACAGAAGGGTTGTCCTGTTTTAAGCTTTAATTGCTTGGGTGATGGGCAGATGATATTATTGTTATTAGGATAAGTCTCGCTATTTGTTTAGGTGTGTATGTCAGATAACTGTTCAAAAACAATTTCTTTTAAAGTTACGACTATAAAATCTCACCTCTTGAGTATTAAGGCAATTATGGAGTAGAATTTGAAATCAAAATAATCAAAATTGGCTTATCTATATCTAAAACCAGTTTGGAAAAAATGTCAAGGCAAAAAGCAGTGTAATTAGAAGAATAAAATGCTTTCACTTAAAGATAGTAGTTGTGGACAGTCATGGTGGCTCACACCTGTAATCCCAGCACTTTGGGAGGCCGGGGTAGGTAGATCACCTAACATCAGGAGTTGGAGACCAGCCTGGCCAACTTGGCGAAACCCCATCTCTACTAAACATACAAAAATTAGCCCAGCGTGGTGGCACGTGCCTGTAATCCCGGCTACTTGGGAGGCTGAGGCAGGAGAATCACTTGAACTTGGGAGTCCTAGGTTGCATTGAGCTGAGATCATGCCATTGCATTCCAGCCTGGGTGACAGAGTAAGACTTTGTCTCAAAAAAAAAAGGAGATGTTATATTACTGCTTTTGGAAGCAATTAGTGAATGATGTAGGCAAAATAGTGATTGAATTTTGAAAAGCAGTTAGACTGAAATTTCAAAGTGGTGGAACATTTCTTAATAGCAACATACATAGTCATGAATCCAAATATCTGAAATTTTCTAAGCATGTTTTTCAGTCTTTGGAATAAAGTGGAAGTGCTGATTTTCTGATTATTTAAGAACCTATTAATCCATTCCCTGCTAGAGCATCGGGAATTTTCAGATTGTGAATTTTCCTAAAATAACATTGGCTGATTTGGGTTATTGAACATTGGTTGCAGCAACTTTTTTCC